ATATCAAAAAAGTACTCCAGAGTGTTGTTCAGCATGGGGGTGAGTAGAAAATGAAGGCTAATCATGTTTTGGGTGTACTATTCCTTTAACCTTTTGTAATCATCTTTGACACAATCTTAAAAGTTCCTTCTTTGGTTCCACTTTCCTACAGATCAACTAAATATGACTACATGAAGACAAAACTTTTTTTTCCTGAAAATCAGTGAAAGAAATGCAACAAAGATCAAACCTTGATGCTGTTTTGAGGAACGTCCCTCCAGGTCGGTTCGAGAGACAAGAGATGCAGGAAACAAATAATCATTGACTTTTCTTACTTACGTCTGGTACAACCAGAAGAGCAAAGACTATAAACAACAAAAGTAAACTGGACGAATATATGCTGCTTCAACCATTAATAATTTTAAGCACAATTAAAACTACCTCATACTAATTCATAAAATATACATTATGCCAAAGTAAAGAATATGACTTTTTTTTTCTTTTATATATGAATTTATTTGGGCGTAAGAGTTCTTACTAATTTTAAAACCTCTGTTTTGTGTTGATTAAGAGCAGAAATGGCATTTTTTAAAATAAGTATAACATGAATTGGATCAAAAAGGACGGTAAATGTCCTTTAAAAGCAAAGTCTTACCTTAGAGTGGCCTTTTTTTAGGTTGTTTCCATTAGCATTTTCCTAAAAACGAATTGCTGCATTCCCAGCTGTTTCGTAAAAGTCACCTCAGCACTGCATGAATATTTTAGCACTTTATTGCTGGAGGCACATCTTAAAAGCTCCTCTACCAACTGCTTTTCATCCACTCTCACTGGAATTATATCATCAACACTGTGGTCTAATGGTGGTTCCATTTTCCCCAGTTATCAATATGAAATGTCATAAACTCCACAGTAAATGCTCTCTGGTTTACTGCTTGTAATCTCTGCAGTCACTGGTGCCTTAAAAATCACAGAAGCATTGTCCTACATTGTTCTGTGCATACACAGGGTACTAAAAGTTAATCCTACATGCAT